AGCAGGAATATAGGACAAAAGGGAGGAATAGTGTTAGTGAATGGGTAATTAGTGGGAAGCACTTCACACTAAAACAGCAACCAGAGGGAGAGAAGAAGATGCTAAACACTACGTCCTGAGCCCACAGAAAGATAAAGAAACACATACATAAAGAGGAATATATATAGAGAGGGTGAGAGGAGGAGGAAGGGAGAGACTTGTCAATATGAGCCAGACCTGATGAAATGCTTAAATCTATTCAAAAATGAGTAAAATAAAACATAAAAGAGGGTTTGTGACACTGAGACGGGACAGGCGGAACACTAACCGGAGGCTTGGTGGCTGCGTTCAAAGACTCCATCTCTGCGTGGGTCATCCACACGTTACTGGTCGACTGTAGTCGCGTGAACAAGAGAAGAGTGACACTGAGATACAAAGCACCACATATTGTCTCACCTGCCTAAAGTACAGCGTCAGTGTCAAAAAAAAGCCACATCACAAGATGTCAGCCATGCAGAACAGCAGACCGCTTTCTCTTTGCCATGGTAATTTTAATGAACAAGAGCTTCAATAGGTTCGTGTGACAGGATAAATCTGTGGAGCAGAACTGTGTCACTGATTGTTTTCAGTTTATCTCATTAACATGATGCCTGCTGTAAATAAATAGGAAGCCAGGCAAGGAATTTAGAAAGCCAAACTAAACCAAAAAAATCTGGCAACCATTCCAAACTCCAAAACAGACTGTCAGAGGAAGATAGCTTTTATTCCTGCTTTTATCTTCCTTAGAAGAGCAGACATTAAAGGCAGTGGTACAGATGTCTGTGCGTGCAACACTTTACTAGACTCTTAAACATCTGGTTTGTCTTTGTTGCTTTGTGAGAAGGCAAAGTTTGGGAAAATGTAGCTATTGTTACCAGGTGAAATAGGTGGAACTATTCTTCTATAGAAAATATACTCATATTTTTATTATATACATACTTTTCATGTTCTTACTCCATTTCACATTTTACTCTAAAACAAAATGAAACCCATTCTGTTATTTCCTATAATCTAGTTCTTTTTTTACACCATGCCTATTTGAAATGATATACTTTCAATCAAATTATATTTTTATTTTTGCATCCTGTTACTAAGTTTTGTCAGAAATTTCCCAAAAGGAACCATTAACATTTCAACTACTCTCAACAGTACAAACGTATAGTTTGACATTTACCTCATATTGCTAATATGAATCCACCATTTGTGCATTTTCAGCAAGAAGTCAGTGCTCAGCATAGAGAAATATGTAATTCTTGATAAATTATTAAAAGGTTTCAGCTTGGGATGTCACAATATCAGATTTTCTCTACACAATTTACGTGGCCAAAAAAATTCACAATGATGATATTATCACAATACCTACAAAAGAATTTAACTTTAATGTGTATGCTGTCTGTCTGGTAGGGCAGTAGCTACCTAGCTAGTTACCACGTGGTCTTCTTCTTGTTTTATCCCCGTTGGGAGGCAAGTAGTGTTAAGATGCAATACCATCACCTTCTTAGTAGGAGTGTCAAAAAGGTAGTTACTAGCTCTGGCTTATTTACAATATTAGCATATGTGTATTATTAACATGATGTCAGTATTTCATTTTTTTAAATACCATGGTTATTGTCAGTACCGGTACAGTATATTGCAGAACCCCTAGATTCAAGCCCTTGATGAATGCTTAAATCACCTTAGGAAGGTGTTTAAGATCTTAATGTACTCCCATTAAGGACTTCTTTATTTTTAATAGATGCTGTCTAGACTGGGCTTTTTTTTATGGTATGAGAACATGATTGTGGCTTTAGGGTGAATGAGTGTGTTAAATGTATGTGTTGCCACAGAGACTCACAGAGCGAGTGCTGGCTGGGGCAGACGGGCTGGTGAGGGACACCATCTCCTGGATGGCAAGCCGCAGTTTGAGGCGGTGCAGCGGGTTACTGATGCCGATTTCCCTCTGGATCTCTGTGTCGGACAGGTTGGCCATGATGGCGCCGCTCTTCACATTTGCACGGCAGGCAGCAACGTACCACGCTGGCATTCCCACCCACAGCTGGGAGGAGGCAGACAACAGATTGAAGAAATAAAAAAATATGAGGGAAATGCTATTTGGATCCTTTTTGGGTCCAATTACTATTTTTGTTTTCTAAGGTTTCTGTAACCATACGCACCTCCAGCCAAGAAACAACAGTGGGTCCATCCCAAGATGCAAAGGGAAGTCCTTGGCGACATGCTTCCTCCAGTAGCTCATGCCTGTCAGGAAGGAAAATGTTTAAAAGTCTTATTTGTTGCAGGTCTAGTGAAAGGACAAGTATCAACTGAGAATCAAACTGAAGCAGAACAAAGGACATAATTTCTTCACACTGACTTCTTCTTGCTACGGCGGTCTTTATCTGCTGGGCCCAGAGTCCCAGTCTTGTTCATCCCCATAGGGTCTCCAGAGGCTAGGTCTTCAGAGGGCGTGGATGCTGGAAGACATACGGTAAGGTCAAAGGTCACGGGAATGAAATATCTCAAATCTCTGAGCCTGAGCAGCTCAAATATGTTTTCATGAAAGTAATGACAGCGTGGATTACTCATATACAGTCAGCGCTATCACTCTCTTCTCCTTCATCTGTTTACCAAGAGAAGCAGATCCTTCCCGCCCGGGTTGGCCCATCCTCCCTTTCTCCTTCTTTCCAAAAAGCCGACCGATGGAAGACTTGATGCTTTTCTTCTTACTGGACTTGTGGAGGGAATCTTGGCTGCTGTTGGAGCTGCTGCCATCTGCTGAGAGACTGAAAGAGACAGAGGAAATCACTACAGAGAAAAAGCTAAATACACATTAAAAGCATTGCAAGTGATGTACCGGCACCACTGTCTGATAAGGCAATTTACATGAAAAGTTTATAAGATGTAATTAATGACTTTAATGTACTAATGCTCTATCTATCATTAGTAAGACTTTAATAACAAACAAATGGATTTTGGTCCAATTGTTCTTCAGCCTGTTAACAGATGATAAGTGGTCAAACTGTCCATTCATGGGGTCTCCCCAGTGAATTAAAGGGCTAGTTTGAAGCTTGAGCAAGTGTTGTGCTGGGGGAGGATTTTCCGCAATCTGGCAACCCTTGTGTTTTTTTCATTTATGGCTGGTAAATATCTCTAGCTATAAAGCATTACTAGATAATTTATTCATCTTTAATTAAGCCATAAATGAATTGATTAATTACATGAATTAAAAGCGGTGCTATTTCAGAAAACGATACATATAATGTGCAGCTGCCTTACCTGCGAAACTCCCGGGGATCATCAAGCATCGCACCTGGATGAGTGAGGGCCATCCTGTCCAATCGCAGGGCGCGGGGAGTGGGAGGAGGTGTAGAGTCAAGAAGAGCAAGTGACCGATCATCATCTTTGTTGTTCTGAAACATAAAATGTAAAAAGTGCAATAAAGTAAACAAATAATTCTCATAGTATGAAGCTAGTACGTACACCCAGCTAGCATCTCTTTCGGAACCACTGGATCATTTAGACCTGGATGCATAAGATTATTCTTTATGACAGAGTTTTTCAGACAAATTCAGGCCACAAACATCTTATTTCTTCTAAACAAATGTCTCTCTTGGGTTGAGGCGGGTGAACTTAAGTCGCTCTCACATTTCTGTCATTTTAAGATAATTATTTTGATGAATAAATGTAGTCTGACATACACTGAAAACTTAATTAAATTCAAATTTACTTAAAACTAGAACAAGTATTTGACAGGGCTCGGCTACAACTGCCAAAATGGAAGACGCATACTGTACCTCAGTGGTGCAAATTTTCAATTTATCAGATTTATCCAGAACCTAACCTAATAGCTGATATAGGGCAAACCTGGGGCTTTTGGAGGCTCCTGGGAGTCTTGGGCCCCTGGACAGCTGCTGCTTTACCTGACTGTTTCTGAGGCCTGACCAACTACTGGCTGTAGCTTTATATTTATTGCCAGTTGTAAGAGTGGTATCAGTTAATGTTATCATCTAACTTTCTGCCAAAAAGCTAATGACAGTATTACCCAAAATGCTGAACTATTCCTTTAATACTGTGTCAGAGAACTTTGTCCCACTTACTACAAGGTTTAATGAGCTACATGCAAATGGATTGTGAATTGTATTTATTTATTTGTTTGTTTTGGTGATTATTTTTCTGTTGAAAGGAAAATTGATTAAACATGTCAATGTTTGTGTCAAGGCCCAGTATAAAAGAATAAAATAATACCCATAATACTCCTGGATCTATTAATTAATGTTTTTACTCGTAATATTTATCCTGCACAAAGAAAGTGGGACTTGATATACCAGTATAGTTTTTACCATTTCTCTGTTGTCTGATTTTGCTGACCATATCCAAATGTTAAACCTATCTTTCTGTTTTTGACAGAAGTGGGAGCCTTTGTGGCTTCCTGCTACTGTAGTCCTAGTTTTTTAAGCTCCATTACTGCAGTATCGCTGTCCTCAGTTCTTTCCACATCATGCCCACTGACAGCATGTTTCCTGTTTATTGCACCATCTTTTGTAATCTGTCTGTTCTGAGTTACTGGAACCAGTGTCTGGCACCGATCACAATCTTGGCCAATCTAATGTCCTACTGAAGAATGACTGAACTTCACTGACCCTGTCTACACGATGTACTTGTGCTTTATTTACATGACTCGACTCAATGTCTGGAGAAGCCGTTTCCACAAACAGGGAGGCTGATATCAAGACAAGATAAAAAGGTTAACACAGATGGGAATATAAATTCATCTCTACATTCCAGCAGTACCTGTCTGTCAGTCTCACGGGCAGGGGAGTGCGGCAGGCGAGGGGTGGAGTGCCCAGAGCTGGGGGGAGAGGGGGAGGCTAGGGTAGAGGATGTGATGGATGAGGGGATGAAGCCCCTTCCTGTGCTGTCTCTCCCTAGGGTGGATGGAGGGATAGGCGGACTGTCCAAAGCCACACTGACCCGGCTCTCAATCTCCTCAGCCCGCAACTCCGTGTTCTCCTTCTCCTCCTGGATCAGTCTGATTTGGGATGTGGAGGGTGAGAAAAAAAAAGGAAGCAGGGGACTGAAACACTTGGATGATATAAGAAAGAAGAAACATTTTACCGATGGGCAGCTCATGCAACTCTGAACATATTAGGAGAGACGTGTATCAACAATTAGATTTTTTTATGAT